AGAACACCAGGGGGTTGCCAGAGTTTTCCTCATCAAAGCCTCTGTCTAGAACTTTTGCCAAATGGGCATATTCTGGCGTGGGGGTCAGCAGTTGTTCTGGTATGGTGTATGATTTTGTGGTGGACGGGGGACCCAGGCACCTGGGGTTTGGATTCGGAAGACTGAGTTTTAGGCCAGTCACCTCTCGGGGCTGCAGTTTCTACATCTGCCAAGTGAAGAGATGTCAGTAGATCAACCGCTAAGTCTTTCCGGTGCCGAGATGTTAACCCCAGAGAATTGCTCTGGACTGCCTGTGGCTCACTCTTCTGGTGTGGGGACCCCCCTTGTCCCTCAGGAGGGACCCTTGTCTCCCCCTTTCCTTTGGCTCATCCACCTCTTGTTGTGGACGGGGTAGGGAACAGAGAACATTCAGCCCCCTGAGCTGTTGGTTTTCCTGGAGAGATCGCTCCTACTTCTGTGGGTCTCTGTGCTCAGCAGTGAACCGTACATACAGACAGCATCTGTGGTTGATGATTTGGGCAAAGGAGTCCTGGTGTTGTAGTGGGTTATGACTTGGCCTGCTAACCCCAAGGTCAGCAGTTTGAATCCACCAGGCGTTCTGTGGGAGGAAGGGGGTCCTTTCTCCTCTCCCAGACATTTGCAGTCGGGGGGCTCCACTGGAGCAGGGTCTACGCTGCCCCATACACAGGGTCGCTGTGCGTTGGAACGACTCGATGGCAGTGACATTGTGTTTTTGAGCTTTGAGTATGCTGACCTTTTAGTGGCCTGGTGTTTCAGGAAACATTTCGTGGGAGAGATGCCATGCAAAGTAGATGAAAGGAGACCTTGGAAAGTTGACGAGGGACTGCAGAAAGGTACCTGTGGCAAGTACCCAGGGCCCCCGGTTCTCCAGAACAGGCATCACAGACAGTTTTATGGAATTGGCATTCAAGGTTAGGGGCTTCGAGTGTTTTTCTGTATTGCAGTTCCCCAGAGTCATGCCTCGAGAGAGGGAGTAACTGTGGTTGAAAGCCCGTCTTAGTAGCTCTGAAATCATGATGTGTCTTATAAGTAACAGCAGCTTACAATTCACGGTAGCATTTTTTTATTTTTGTCTTCTTTTCTTGTTGTTCAGTACATAAACCAATCCCACACTTGTATCTTAGATTACTTCTGAGATCTGATGAGAGACAGGAGTTACAACCATGAATGTTAACCCTAAAAATGCTATTGGTATACTTTAGGGCAGCTAATCTAAAATTCCAAGTCTGCTGAGAGGGAAACTGTAAAATTAGGCCGGACAGATGCATAGAAAGAACATAGGACCTACATTCCAGGGAGGTATGTGTGTATGAAAATCTGAAAATTCTTGTTAAAAGAAGCATTGTTTCTGCCATAGAAATAATCAGCCTTCGGGGGAAGGAGGGGGAAGAAATGGGGAGCTGCTATCAGGGGCTCAAGTGGGAAGAGAATGCTTTGAACATGATGATGGCGGCATATGTGCAAATGTGCTTGACACAGTGGAGGACTGTATGGATTGTGATAAGAGATGTAAGAGCCCCCACTAAAAGTAATTGTAAGAGAAGAAATAGGGTTCCCCCCCATGATGACAATGGGCCCACTCATTCTTCGAAGGTAATGAGGACTGGTCTAAGAAAACTTTGTTGGGAAACCTTATTCCATTCATCCTACAGCCCTGCTCTTGCCTCTCCAGGCTTGTTTTTAATCCCCCAAGCTCATCAGCATATGAAAGGAACACAGTTTTGAGTTCACTGAGGATGCCAAACCTGCCATTTTGACATGACTTCTACAGGGAAGGGTTAGAGAGGCGAAAACACTGATACCAAAAGGGGATGGGCCTACATGGAGGATGTGATTAGAAACAGCAGCTTAATATTTTTTAAACACATATGTTTATTTTATAAAAGTTTCTGATTTTTAGCAATACTTTTTGACTTACTCTCCATTATGTATGTTGTATGGATGTATGTGGTCTGAAATTAAATATTTAATATATATATAAAAAAAGAAATAATCAGCCTTACCAAAGTTTTTATTTTATAGGATGAGAAAAATCAGTTAATGACAACAAATGTCTGGTTGAAGCAGGTATGTAGACAATGAAAAGGGGCCCGGTACCACTGTTGTTTTTGTTTGTTTTGTTTTGTTTAACTTGTTATTGTGGATTGATGAAAGTTTCCAGGACCGATCATCAGTTTCCCATTCATCAGTTTGTACACATTTTGTTTCATCTCATTCATTGCCAGCCCCTCTGTGCAACACCACTCCCCCAACCTCTGCCCTGCGCTTCCTGCTCCCAGCCCTCTTTCTCTCCTAACCCACTGCACGTTGGCCTTGGGCAAATGCTGCCCTTGGATCTCAAGTGGTGGACTGTTCTCAGGTGTATGTCTCTCACTGGTGTTATTAGTGTGTGTCATGTCCCCCCACCCCCCACCCCACCGTGGACCTACCTGTCTGGCTGGCTGAACTTGGGCCACAGAGGTGAGTTCCGTTCTGGATCCAAAGAGCCAGAATCTCAGAGGCTCCACCAGGCTGCATCAACCAGCAAGCCTGGCTGCTGCTGCTTTTGTTATAGGCTTTGGGACTGGCAGGATGCAGAGAGATGGGGGGAAATCGAGGTCTTGTATTTATGCAGTTGATATTTTTGCGAGCCAACGCTGTTGGGATTCCTGGAGAAGCCAGGAATAAAACAGACAAAATCCTTATCTTCAAGGAACTTCCTTCAGCAGTATCTTCATTTACGTTCATTACATAGTCTCTTAGAAGCTGAACGGCTTGGAGGAAAGTAGGGAGTAGAGAGGGGGTGTCCTGGTGTCCACTTGACTCACAGTGACCCTCTACAACAGAGTAGGACTACCCTGTAGGGGCCACATAAGAACAAGAACAAACGTTTGGGGAAACAGAGTGCCACACCTTTCTCCCATGGAGCAGCAAATGGGTTCATTTCAAACCACCAGCCTTTTGGTTAGCAGCCACGCACTTAACCACTGTGCCACCAGGGCTCCCTCTAGGGAGCGTTGGAAACCGTATTTTTAAATAGAGTGGTCCGGGAAAGCATCCTGGAGAAGGAGAGATTTCAACGCAGAGAGTGTGCAAGCCCTCTGGTATCTGGGGGAAGGGTGCTCCAGCAAGAGGGCCGAGAAGGGCAGAGGTCCTGAGCCTGGAGTTGCCTAGTGTGGGCCAGTGTCGCTCCAGGTGAGCTCGCTATGAGGAGAGGAGGGGAGGGAAGAGGAGAGGAGAGGAAGGGAGGGGAGAGGAGAGGGACAGTAGAGGAGGGAAGAGGAGAGGAAGGCAGAGGGAGAGGAGGGGAGAGGAGAGCCAGAGGAGGGGAGGGGAGAAGAGAGGCAGAGGAAAGGAGAAGGAGACGAGAGGAGAGGAGAAGCAACAGGAAGGAGCCCGTGGTGTGTAACACCTCCTCTGTAGCCCACCACAAGGGTTTCGCTTCTTTTTTTCTGCAGGAGGTGGAAATATACTAACCCCCTGCCATTGAATTGATTCCAAGTGACAGTGACCCTATTGGGCCGAGTAGAAGTGCTCTCTAAGGGTTCTGAGGCTGTAACTCTTCATGGAAGCAGACAGCCTCATCGTTCTCCCTAGCTCCCTAGCAGCTGAAGGCCTTGAACTGCTGACCTTGCAGTTAGCAGCCCATGATGTAACCAGCTACACAACCAAAACTCCTCTGGAAATAAACAGTGATGAATTATTTTTATGCAGATATTGTTTTATTGCATAAAGGACAGTCCCGCCTCCCACCCCCACCCCCATCCTGTCATCTCAACCTTTTCTCTTCAACTCCCCTCTTGTCTAACTTTCATACCGACCAGTCCCTTAACCACAAAGTCCTAAACAGCATGGATGATTTTCTTGGTAATAGTTACAGAATAGAGAATGACTGGAGGTTGGACCAGGTGCTTCAATGTGTCAAACGTGTCACAAGGCCAACTCCCCTTAGCATGGGCCTGACAGCCAAATCAGGTGACAGGACAGCCGGGAAAGAGGATGCTACTCTTATCCCTGAGACTTGGGTCTATGTGACCTGCAACCCTGTGCATGGCCAGTGGGTGGCAGGAAAGGTACGGAGCAGAGGTACTGAGTGCATGCGCTTGGGCATTGTGGGCACTGTGCCTCACGGAGGCCATCACTAGGCCACTGCATGAGGGGCCGGGTGAGTCTTCTCTGCTGGGGGCAGGGTCCTGTCAAAACTGCCCGTGTTTTCACTGCTTTTGACAAGTTCATTGAAACGGAGACTGGCTTGTTTGTTTTAAAGGAATGGATAGATGTAAAATTAAGGTGGAACCCCCTGGACTACGGTGGAATAAAAGTTATACGTGTCCCTTCAGATGCAATCTGGACCCCAGACATCGTGTTGTTTGATAAGTAAGTTACATGATAAACGTCGTGTTTTGTGATACACTTGCACTCATATTAATCACTCGCAGTTTTCTTTCCCTTTTGAAAATGGTCTAGTTGTAGAACCAGTTGCTCTTATACATTCTTTTGTTTCAGAAACCTGCAAATAGGTCGGGTGGATTCCCCACCCCCACCTCACCCTCCCACCTTTTGGCATGTTGTTTTCTGATCAGAAAGTGTTCTTTGAGTTGCGAAATGTGTCAACCATTTGGGAAGTACAGAATGGCATACCGGAAGTAGGGCGGAAAGCCTCTATAATCTACCCCATTCCCCATGACTTGGTAAGCCACCACTAGGATGGCATGGGGTCAGGCAGGGCGTTGTTCTGTTGTAGGTAAGGGTCTTCCGAGTCAGGACAGACTCAACAACTACCACCCCCATGGGAAGGAGCTTCAAAACGTTCGTGGAAAAGCGCAATGCAAAGATAAGGAGATTTTTCCCATCAACCTCTTGAAACTTCCTTGTATTAGCATACTTGTATGGTAAACTTATGATCCGCTTGGCCTCATATTTTTATTTCTTCTAGGTCTCACCATAACTTATGAGATACGTACTGTATTGCACCCATTTTATAGATGAGGAAGCAGAGACTGAGGGTGGCTATGTTACACTTGTGGGGAAGACCTCACAGCCTGTGTGTGATAGCGGGTCATTCACTCTCTCACTTACTTGACAACATGCTTGGCAGACTTCCTTCCAGGTTTATTGGTTTGTGGATGCGTTTCTTGCACACTCAAGACCATATTTTACATCCAAACGTGTAGCCTTCACATTTTGCTTAAATATCCCGTTGTAATTTTACCGCAATAAGAAGCATTGGGTTAATCATTGCGTTAGACTGGGTTGACTGGAGAAACAAATCCAGTGTCACTCATCTGTGTAAGAAAGAGCTTTATATCAAGAAGTAATTATATATCAAGAACACATCCCAGCCCAGTCCAACTCAAATCCATAAGTCCAATACTAGTCCATATGCCCCTCTTTAGACTCATGCGTTCACATGCAATGATGCAGAATGCAGGAAGACCACAGGCCGGTGGTTGCAGAGTCTTGTGGATCCATGCAGCTCTCAGGGTGGCCAGCAAGCAGGAAGGTGAAGGTGGAGAGAGGGAGGGGGTTTCTCAGGGTCTTCCTTATGAGAAGGTCACACCCTCAAGGAGGCACTATCAGGCTACATGACCTAATTGGCAGGTTGGATATTACCCTTACACTTTATATTTGACACACAATTGTGTAACTACCACAATAATGAGCTCATCGTTATAGGCATCCTACTTAGGTGCATTTTCAGGATTTCTTTTCCCCCTTCACTTGGAAGAGGATAGTGCTGAGTACCCGTTTTCTTTTTCACTAGGGCCACAGGGGGAAATCTGGGCATTTGTGTTTATCCTAAAATACTGTCCCCAAAGAGCTTTAATCATCTTAAAGCCTCCACACTTGCCGCTGTGCAAGGGGTGAGCAAAGCTATTTGGCAGCCTGATGCTGTTCCCAGAACAAGAGTTTACATCATTGGAACCACTCTGCTAGCAGCTGTGGATATATTACAGAGTACTGGGCAGAAATCACAGGAATGTTAAGGTAACGATCAGAGAAACCGTGTGCTTAGGGTGGAGTTTCTGATTAAACTTCACCAGGATACCCATTCACTTGTTGCCAGAGTTGGAGAGACACTGCCGTCTCTCTCGCCCAGCTGGGTGCCATTGGTTTTTGTGGGGGCTTTTTTTGCCTCCTGCCCGAGCAGAAAACGTCTGGTGTTTGGGATACAGGTAAAGAGCCTGTGCGGGGTGCCTGGGAATGTGCGTGTCCACTGCACAACTAGCTCCCTTATACTTCGAGTGCCAAATGAGTTCTTTGCAACCACTGTATCTTAGGATCTTGGGAAGCATAGATTTAGGGTTCTGACATCAGTGTAGAAGCAGGGGTTCCATTCATGGCAGACTTCAGAGATTTAAGGAAGATGTCCCTAACACAGGTGCCCTTCCTATGTGTAGTTAAAAGAATCAAAAAATTGTTTCATGCTGTGAATTACAGGCTTTCTTTTGCAATGGTGTGTGAAATGGGTGTCAGCTTGGTAGTCTCTACATCAATACTATATGTGTATGTGTTCATGTGTGTGTGTGTATTTCAGCGCAGATGGACGTTTTGAAGGCGCCAGTACCAAAACCGTTGTCAGGTACGATGGCACTGTCACCTGGACCCCACCCGCAAACTACAAAAGTTCCTGCACCATCGATGTAACCTTTTTCCCATTTGATCTCCAAAACTGTTCCATGAAATTTGGCTCCTGGACTTACGATGGCTCGCAAGTTGATTTGGTTTTAGAGGATCAAGAAGTGGACAAGAGAGACTTTTTTGACAATGGCGAATGGGAAATTTTGAGCGCCAGGGGAAGAAAAGGAAACAGAACGGATAGCTGTTGCTGGTACCCATCCATCACTTACTCCTTCGTCATCAAGCGCCTGCCTCTCTTTTACACCTTGTTCCTTATCATCCCCTGTATCGGGCTCTCCTTTTTAACCGTGCTTGTCTTCTATCTTCCTTCAAACGAAGGGGAAAAGATCTGTCTCTGCACCTCAGTCCTTGTCTCTTTGACCGTCTTCCTCCTGGTGATTGAGGAGATCATACCTTCCTCTTCCAAAGTCATCCCTCTGATTGGAGAGTACCTGGTGTTCACCATGATCTTCGTCACACTGTCAATCATGGTCACCGTCTTCGCCATCAATCTCCATCACCGGTCTTCCTCCACACACAACGCGATGGCCCCATGGGTCCGCAAGCTCTTTCTTCACAGGCTCCCCAAGCTGCTCTGCATGCGGAGCCATGCGGACCGGTACTGCCCGCCGAAAGAGGCAGCGGGGAGCGAGAGTGGAGCCCAGGCTTCCAGAGACACACTGGAAGCAGCCCTTGATTCTATTCGCTACATCACAAGGCACGTCACGAAGGAGAGCGCTGTCCGAGAGGTCTGTGGCACACCGCAGTGTTTCTCTGCTGAGCTCAAGGTCACAAGTGAACTTGCTTCATGGGGTTTGACAGAGTACACGGCACGACCCTTAAGTCTAAGCATAGCTTGAGGACCAGGCGTGTTGACACGCTGCCCTATAGCAGCTCTTTCCTATACTAATATTTCAGTGATGGCACATGCAAAATGAGGCAAGCGCGCGGATGTAACTTCTAAATTTCCCTCATCATCTTAAATGCCTTTTTAAAAAGTTGACGTCTGCTGTTCTGTTACTCTGAGGACTAACAATCTCGCCATAGGCTTTTCTGCCTCTGACATGTTCAGTTGCTATCATTTAATCATCACCAATGCAGTTTCTTAATGCTGCCTTATGGCAGATGAACAGTGACTCTTTTTGCACAATGAGCCTAATTTAGGCTTTATAAATATAGTCAAGGAAAACATTTCCACAATAAACCTTTGAATGATTCACTTAAAAAATTAAAATAAAAGGAGCGAGATGTTCCGATGCGCTTGTTGTGCATCAAAGTGCCCCTAGGGAGCTGGGTGATGGTTTGATGGCCTCAGACCTAACTGTCACAGAAACATGAAATCTGGGGGCTCCTCGCTGACAGTAATACACATGTGTATTTTACATATGCAAGGATTGAGGAGGAGTAAACCGTAGTGGCCTAGGTTGGTGTTCTAGTGCTAGAGTGGGCTCTGTATTGAGCTGCTAACTGCAAGGCAGTGATCACAACTCATCAGCCACCCATTGGGAGAGAGATGAGGCGTTCTGCTCCTGTAAAGACTTCCAGGATTGGGAACCCCGGAGGGCAGTTCTAGTCTGCACCGATATAGTCCCTGTGCATTGTGATCACCTCGATGGCAGTGGGTTTCCTCTCGCAGAATGTCACTTTCAGTCTGGTGTGCAAACAAGGCTTTACGACCCCAGATGCTCCACCTACTTTCCTCATCACTTTGCTATGGAACCCATTTGATAGCTATTTTTAACAAACTCTTTATGTTTGTAGACTTGAACATGTTGAATTTGGTTCTAGTAAATAAGTGTCCAAGGTTGGAGGCTCTCAAAGGAGTCTTTAAAATGAAAATATTCATTAGAGAATGAGTTAGGTTGAGAAGAAATTTAATAAATGTCTCTGATGTGTGAAAGGTTCGGGGCGAAACTGCTAGGGTGTGGTGGGGGTGTATGAGAGGACATTGCCTTCCTTGCTCCTGAGGGTGGATTCCGAAGCAGAGAGATAGTAGAAGTTTATAATCCCTAAAATTCTCTAGCCCACCATTCAGGGCACAATTCCTGTAGAGGCTCCCCACACTTAATTAAGGGTTAATGGAAGGGCCAGAGTGCCCTGGTGGCATAGAGGTTATGCATTGGGCTGTGATTGGCAAGGTTGGCTATGTGAGAGCACCTAGGGGTTACAGTCTGGGAAACACACAGGGGAAGTTCTACCCTGTCCTACAGGGTCACTATGAGTCAGTATAGACTTGATGGCAGTGAGTTTGATTTTATTTTGTTTTGGGCTTTTTTTGAGGGGCCAAGGAAGGCTTTGGTCAAGGAAGTGGTCTTGTAGGAAGGGGAGCCTTTGGCACTCAGCGGCTGGTGTCCACCGCCCCCCTGTGACGGAACTCTGACCCATTGAGCCAACTGTGTGCTAAAGGTGTACCAAGAGAGAAATGAGCTCCAGGGCTGGTCAGCCTGTCCGCCACAGGTGTAGGTGAAAACAGTCCCTAAACTGCTATCCAGTCGATTCCAACTCATGGTGGTCTTATAGGACAGGGTGGAACCGTCCCTTTGAGTTTGGGGAATTGTAACTCTTTATAGGAGTAGACAGCTCATCTTTCTCCTGAGGAGTAGTTGGCGGGTTCAAACCACTGACCTTGTGGTGAGCAGTTTAATGCATAGCCCACAATGGCATCAGGGCTCCTACAAACTAGTCCCTAGGACATCTAAAATGCAATTAAATTGGTGAAGGGGGAGGAAGAGTAATGTCTTTCTAATATGTATTATCCTGAGCCAACTTTTGAATTGGCAGAAAATTAACCTCAGGCTAGATTGTCTTCAAAAAAGGCAAAACAAGTAAACAATTCTATACAGTAAAAATGATATCCAAGTAGAATAAATATTTGGGTTTTTATTATGAATTTGTAAAAACCAATGTATTATAATGTGGATGTATAACCCAAACCAATCCACTACTGATTCAGACTCATAACATTATAGGACAGAGTAGAGCAACTTCATAGGGTTTCCATGACTACGAATCTTTACACAGCACCTCCAGGGTACTGTCTAAGTGGATGTATAAAGCTCGAACCAAACTCACTGACATTGAGTCGATTCCAACTTACAGTGATGCTATTTAGAGTTTCTGAGACTGTAAATAACTTTATAGGAGCAGAAAGCCTTATGTTTCCCCTGCAGAGCCACTGGAGGGTTTGAACTGCTGTCCTTGTGACTAGTAGCCCAGTGTTTAACCTGTGGTACCACCAGGACTCCTTAAGTGAATGTATAAGTAATGCATTTTGTAGAGTCTTATAGCTTGAGAGGGGCTTTACTTGGTGAAAACCAGCAGGGTAGATTCTTTCCCTGAACTGAGTATAGAGATGTATTTACTGTTTAGAGTTAGCTTCTAACCCACAGGCTCCAGCTTATTTGGCCTGCCATTCCCTTTTTTGGGGGGAGGAAGGGATTACTCAGCCCCACCCCACCCCCACCCCCCGTGGCAATTGAAAACATTGAACTATAGCCCATGATCCGGGATAAAGTGCAGATATCTGCTTTTGCAACCCCCCTCCCCCATCGTGCCAGTGTCCACCAGGGAGAGGTATTGCACTGCACTTCCTCAGTGAGTTAGATTTTCAAATGTCTGTGATTTTTAATGATGTATTTAATGTCGTTGTGTCTGCTTTTCAACAGATTGTAGAAGATTGGAAATTCATAGCCCAGGTTCTCGACCGGATGTTTCTGTGGACATTTCTACTGGTTTCAATTGTTGGATCTCTTGGTCTTTTTGTTCCTGTAATTTATAAATGGGCAAACATCATTGTGCCCGTTCATATTGGAAATGCAAACAAGTGATGCTTCACAAAGGGCTGTATTATGACTTTGCCTACCTGAAGGCACATGTCTCGTAGGCACCTGGTTGACATGGATGAAAACGCTAGCTTGAACAGGTTAACAGCCGCTAAAATCACCTGCTCTTACTGCACTGTGCATTGGGACACCTGCCTGCATGACCGAGTAAGGAGTGACCTAGTCGCATTTGCTCCTTGGAAACCAGCACCAAAATATTACCTGAGCGCTACTAGTGAACGCCTGGAACCGTGTCCCAGCAAGTCATGCGACCTTGTGGCAAACAGTGATCTTGTAGCAAAAGGCGAATGTTTTGATTACGCTGAGAAATACCAGCTGTAGTTGAAGACTTATTTTAACACCAATATTTTGTGATGTTTTAAGTCTGCCCTGTATTCTCTGGCTACCACTAATCTTTAGTGTAATATTGTGCTGTTATATTTAGTATGATAATAATCTCATGGGCTGCTGCTTTCTGGAATCCTATTGTTTTACAGATGAAAAATGGGAATTGGGAACTCCTTGGTCACATGAGTCTTGTCTTTAGGTCAGGAACCCTGGTGGTCATGTTGAGTAAGTGTTGGCCTATGAACTGCAGACCCACCAGCTACTTTACTGGAGAAAGATGGAGGCTGTTTGCTTCCATAACGATTCCTTAACGATTTCCAGCCCTAGAAACCCTCGGCCGGGTCCCTGTGGGGCCGGAGTCCACTCCGTGGCAGTGGGTTTATTCTTTAGATGCCTATGCCGAATCGCCATTGTATTAACTTTCTATAGCTCCCTTGCGGCATCTTCTTAATGTTACTTTCAATTCCCTTGGCCCCATTTTCTAAATTTAATACAACCACGTTCTATATAAATTGTGCTAGCATTTCTTGATCCTTGACCGTAGAATCCAAAAGCCTTTCGGACCTAATGCTCTCCGAATGGATTCCAACCCACAGTGACCCTATGTAGCGTTTCTGAGGCTGTAGATCTTTCCGGGGATAGACAGCTTCATCTATCTTCCGAGGAGAACTAGTGGGTTTATCACCGACCTTTCCGCTAGCAGCCAGTGCTGCCAGTGCTTCTTGGATCTGAGAAGAGTCCACTGCAGTGACATACACAAGTCGCATTTTTAAACCGTGCCTATGGATACACTTAAAGCATTCTGTATGAAAACCATCTTACTGAGATGAAAGATGGCATAGTAGTCGAATTTGATGTAAGCATATTGTGAAATCTCTGGAATGTTTCCATTTTTATGTCTCTCTAACAATTACAGTAATAAAGTTTCAGGACTGCATAGGCTATTGACATAAGTTAGTTTTACTATTAAGTCTTCATATAGTATAATGAATGGATCCCAGATCCCAGACAAACAAGTTCCCTATAAATGTCCCTATGCAACTATGACAGGAAAAGCCAAGCCTGAAATGCTGTATTGAATTTAGCCTTGTAACTCTTGAGAGAACATGCCTTATGTATTTAGAGTAAGTCACCCACCTCTGTTCACGTCATCTCTTTGGAAGGCAGAGAGGTCCCTATCTAATTTGCATTTTACTGCAGACAGGGTTTCATGTCATCTGAGTGAAATTCTGGTTTGAGAGTGTAAATCGCGTGTTAGCTATCTTGGCATGCCATCATCCCTGATCACTCTTTTATCTCCATCACTGTTACCTTAGATTTTGATGCATAAATACATTTTATAAAAATCTCCCACTTGGCTTAACTGAGACATGAGTCAGGGCCGGTTGCAATGTTGTGAGTTTATTTTTGCATTAGGAAAAACACGAGCGACTAGTGAAAGCCCAACGTCGTGTTTATGAATCAGCATCTGTCCCTGGCCAGTCAGCTCCAGAAGCGTCATCGCATGGGCCGTGATCTTCCGTCACACATGGTCAGAAACTGGGGTGGGGAGCTTTGCCTCTGCCACGGGCCACGCTGGTCAAATGCTAATTACCACAGCCTTCAAGTGATGGCCGGGCTGCTTCTCTTTGGTGATGTGGGCGGTGTTCGCTGGGATTGATGATTTTGAAGGCCTTATACAGCCCAGGGCCAGCCGTTCCCCACCCTGGTCTAAACGGTATGGTTCTCAATCGGAGGCCATTTTGCCCAAGAGGACATTCTGGTTGTCACACTCGGGGAGCGGGTGGTGGTTCTGTTAGCATCTGGTGAGCAGAGGCCAGGGTGCTACTGAACTCACAAAAACACACTGCCAGTGAGGCTATGCCAACTCGCAGTGACCCTGTAGGACAGGGTAGCACTGCCTCTGTGGGTTTCCGAGACGTTAACTCTACTGGAGTAGTGTCTTTCCCCCTTGGAGCAGCTGGTGGTTTTGAACTGCTGACCTTTCAGGTCGCAGCCCAGCAGGTAACCACTATACCACCATGGCTCCCTGGGTGCTGCTAAAGGGCCTACCGCCTACCCCCACCTCTCACAATGAAGAATCACCTGGCCCCGGATGCCAACAGTGCTTCAGCAGAAACTCTGCTTTAAGAGTCCACTAACACCAATGTGTGACTATGATTAGGCATCATTTCACATGGCAGAATTATCTAGAAGTATGTAAGAATGAGTAATTGAGCTCTCTCTTACCCCTGAACATGAAATTCATGGTGACAACTGGTCGTGGGGTGGGGAGTGGTACTTTAAAAAGACTAAGAGCTACCTAAGAAAGCTCATTGGGAAATCTGAAATCCTGGCCAAATAAGTTTCACATTTTGGAGCAACTAGATTTCCTATGCTTGTTTGTATGTATCAACCACTACAAAATGGGGTGGGGGGAGGAGGTGTTTTGGGAGCAGTTTTAATAATTACCCATTTTTTTCTGTCCCTTGGCACAGCATACTGTGGAAGATTTATATTTGGAAATTGTTTTTCATTCTTCACTGTATTAAAAACACTAACTATTCATTTATCCACAGTAAATACTGACTTTTTTCTTGCATGGCTTTGTTTGTTTGACAGAAACCAAGACAACTGGACAACAGGTAAACCTTGAGATGCCAGAAACAGAGTCTCATCATGGGAAGTGTCTTCAGTAACAGCCCTCTCCCACGCTCCTTCCGGCCCCTGGGTGGTTTGGTGCTTACATGTCATCCCTGGCCATCAAAGGCTGCAGAAACAATCCTGCTGTCCCTAAAATGCACACCAGGATGAAGACCCACAGAAAGATGCGGTCAATCACCATGGCAACGTACTTCCAGTCATCTTGAATCTGGAAAACAAAAAATGTCAAAGAGGGAAGGAAAGCATGAAGGGAACACATTGTGATTTTAAATGTTCAGTCTGTTTCTATCGCAGAAGCCCCCGTGTTTCTAACAGGTGAGGAACATCTGTTCTCTAATTGATGGCGTCCAAAGGACTCCACCAGCCTCAAGCCTCTCTGGACACAGTAGAGCAAGCAGGTATAAAATATTGTCATGATAACTCCATTCAAATGAGAGATATCCTTGAAGGGAGATGGTGTAAAATACGAAAATAAAAATAATTGATAAATTATGAAGAGATCACAAGGGTGGGGGGGGGCGGGAATAGGAGCTGGGAAAAAAAATTTTTTTAAATAGGAGCTGATGCCAAAGGCTCAAGTAGAAAAAAAATGTTTTGGAAATGATGGTGGGGCAATATAGGTACAAATGTGCTTGACACAATGAATGTATAGATTATTATAAGAGCTTTAAGTATGAAGGTGCACACCAGCCTGCATGATCACAGGTGCCGAAGGGATCAGTTATCAGGCATCAAAGAACAAAAAATCATA